TGCTCCTTTGTATTCAAGCATCTAGTGTTACAGTGAAAAATGTGATACAGCATAATCTCCATTTTCTTTCTCTTAATAAGCTTTCAGGATTCTTTATCTGTGGTGCAATGAAATTTCCAAAGACAGTTCAGGTATGGTTCCTTTATTTTTATTATTATTCATTGAAGTTGGTTCCCAGTGAACTCTTTCTATCTAAAGATGGGTATTCTTTTTCAACTCTAGGAAACTTTCTTCTGTCATTTCTCTAACTGCCTCTCCTCCATTTCCTCTACTGCTGTTTTATGAAAGAGAAATATGTTAGACCTCTGTAGTGATTCTCTACATAATAGTTCTCTCTGAAGTACTTGCTTGACTTTATTTTTAGAGACTATTTTGTTTTCTCTAAATACTGGCAGTGATAGTAGTTTGAAAATATGTCCACAAATTCTTTGATACTCGTCTTTTCAGGGGTGGAGCCTAATTCTTCTCTCCTTGAGTGTGGGCGAGATTTAATGACTTGTTTGTAACTTGCTGAAGAGACGGTGTGCACCTAGAGAGACTAAGTCATAAAAGACATTGGGGCTTCTTTCTTGCTCTCTCTTTTGGATCATTCTGGGGCAAGTCAGCTACCATGTCACGGAACACTCAAGCAATTCTATGGAAATGTCCATGTGGTAAGGAACTGAGGCTTGCAGCAAGGAGCTCAGACCTTTCTGCCACCAGCTATCACTTGAGCATGGAAGCAGGTTTCCTGTGCCCAGCTAAGCTTTCAAATGACTGGCTGACATCTTGACTGTAATCTTATGAGAGAACCCAAGTCAAAACTGCCCAGCTAAGCTGCTCTTGAGTTCCTCACCCATTATAATATGTTATATGTTTTTATATATGTTTTATATTATATATTATATATATTATATATAAACATTTATATATAATTTTATATATAATATAACAAATTATTATATATAATAAATGTTTTCTATGTTAAGCTTTAAGTTTTGGGGTAATTTATCACACAACCATTGATAACTAATACAATAGTTATTGTACTATATGTGGTAGTTATATTAAAACTTGTTTGGTCTCTGAATACTCCTTTTTCATAGCATTCTATTTTTGTTTTACAGCTAGAATAACTTCTTTATATTCCCCAAGTATATAATCTAAGTTAAGAGGTATTTTTTTAAGTTTCTGTCTATATCAAAATTACTATTTTCTGTTAGGGGCAGTTTCTCTATTCATTTTGTATTCTCTTTTTATGCCACTGTCTAATATGCTTGGCATTATGTATTACCTTAGATCTTGACTCTAAAACGCACATTTTGCCAGAATTGAGTAACACTGTTCACATTTAAAACTTCAAGACCAGGTAGATGATTTAGCTTTCTTTTGCTGCTACATGGAAATAGGTCCGTTTGGTTGTGAGCGCTCTGAGCAGGTGAGTCCCTGGCATGCCTACTGTCAGGCTCTAGGCCCCCAAATGTTAGAATTTCAGGGCACAATACTATGGGGTACTTAACTCTCCCTACACAATTCACTCAATGTCCCTAAATAAAAGTAGACTAGATTTCTTCTGGCACATAAATGACAGACTTCTTATATTCTATAATGCAAGGATCTAAAGCTACTGACATAATTGTTTTGATTACAGACCTTAAATTATTTCATCACTTTCAGCTTTACTTCTTACTCATTTACTCCATAACACATGCCAACTCAGAGCCAGAAGTCTCTCCAGGGTTCTAATGGGTAGACTGACTACAACCTTGGACTCTTTAAATAAATTATGGGTTCCAGTTTCCTTTATGTTGTTTTATCCACCAAGCCACTCTAGTCCTGTCTCAATTTCCCCAAAATTTGTTGAAATCTCTTATTTGTTGATAACACCTTGTTGTCCCCTACCTCCTTTCTCTTTATGTTTGTTACCTACCATGAGTTTATTTCAGTGAGACATGGGAGCCATGAATTGATGTATGTACTTAACGCAAAATTTTCAGAATTCTTTCTGTATTAGACAAAATCTCCCAACTTTTCTCCAAATGTCACCCCTACTTCTTTGTCTTAAATAGAAACCTGCCGATCCCATGGCAGGGTGGGGGAAGGGCGAGTACCTCTTCTGCTATAGCCCTCTCAAAGAGACTTAACGTTTCTGTCACACACTGGGTAGAGATATACTTCAGGGTAGAGGTGAGATGGATATCCTTCTTCTTTCTCAATATTATTTTTATACCATTATCTTGCTTTCTTATAACAATCCCCTTGATCCACTGAGGCTCTGGATATTATCACATGTTCTCCTTCCTCGCAACAACCATCTAGTAAAGTAACATTGAACCTTTGGCTACTGGTTCAAAGTTTTCTTCTCCATGCTAATATCACACAAGGTGACCTCAAAACCCACATATACATACATATGTAAATGTGTATGTACATGTATATGTGTGTGTGTATGTATATGTGTGTGTGTACACACACACACACCCACGTATGGCTATTCAAACTCCTGTCTCCTTGGTTCCTTACCTTTTACATCTCTAGCAACCTCTTCTATGTCACCTCAGTGATCATTCCCACAGCTTTATCCTTGATCTAGACATCATCAGAAATTGAACTGCTTCCCAAATCACTAATATAGTTAGGCATTCTCTTCTCTAAATAAAACCACCTATTCTCCCAGCTCACTTGTTTAAGAAACCCATTATAACAAGTATAAAGATATATGGTAATAAGCTCTTTACTCAATTATCTACTTCATATTTACCTTTACTCTTTAAATCATCTTGTCCTTCTCACTAAAATCTCACTCCTAGGTAATAAATAACCTTGTCTTTCACATATGAGGTCTGACAATTAGGTTCGCGAACTCATCCTAGAAAAAGTGCTACATACCTCATTGCTAATTATCACTATGGTCACCTTCGAAATACTNAAAAAAATCAGAAATATAGAATATAAAAACTGAAATGAAGACCATATTAGGGGGAATCAAGAGCAGATTACATAAAACAAAGATCAAATCAGTGATTTAGAAGATAACGTAGCAGAAAACACCCAATCAGAACAGCAAAAAGAAAAAAGAATGGAAAATAATGAGGACAATTTAAGGGGCCTCTGGGACAACAACAAGTGTACCAACATTCGCATCATAGGGATACTAGAAGGAGAAGAGAGAGAGCAAGGAATCAAAAACCTATTTGAAAAAAATAATGACTGAAAAATTCCCAAACCTGGCGAAGGAAAGAGACATGTAAGCTCAGAAAGTGCAGACAGTCCCAAACAAGATAAACCCAAAGAGGCCCAACACCAAGATATATCATAAGTAAAATGCCAAAGGTTAAAGACAAAGAGTGAATTTTAAAAGCAGCCAAGACAAAAGCAGTTAGTTACTTTCAAGAGAGCTCCCATAAGACTGTCAGCTGCTTTCTTAATAGAAACTTTGCAGTCCAGAAGGGATTGCATGAAATATTCAAAGTCATGAAAAGCAAGGACCTACAAGAAAGATTGCTCTACCCAGCAAAACTATCATTTAGATTGAAGGCTAGATAAAGAACTTCCTGGACAAGAAAAAGCTAAAGGAGTTCATCACCACCAAACCAGTATTACAAAGAATCTTAGAGAGACTTCTTTAAGATTAAACAAAAAAAATTTTCAAAAATATGAATAATAAAATGGCACTAACTATCTATCTATGAAAAGTTACTTTACATGTAAATCGATTAAATACTCCAATCAAAATATAGGGTGGCTGAATGGATAAGAAAACAAAACCCTTACATATGCAGTCTGTAAGAGACTCACTTCAGATTGAAAGATACACACAGACTGAAAGTAAAGGGATGGATAAAGATATTTAATGAAAATGGAAACAAATTTAAAAAGCTGGGGTAGCAATACTTACATCACACAAAATAGTTTAAAACAATGGCTATAACAAGAGACAAAGAAGGGCCCAGTAATCTCACTTCTGGGTATTTACTGGAAGAAACGTAAAAGGCTACTTTGAAGGGACATGTGCATCCATATGTTCATTGCAGCATTATTTACAATAGCAAAGATATGGAAGCAATGTGGGTGTCCATAAACAAATGAATGGTTAAAGAAGAGGTGTTACATATAATCAATGCAATATTGCTCCGCCAAGGAAGGGAATGGGTTCTTGCCATCTGCAGTGGCATGGATGGACCTGGAGGGTATTGTGCTGAGTGGAGTATGTCAGACAGAGAAAGACAGAGCCAATGTGATTTCATTTATATGTGGAATCTAAAGAACAAAATAAACAAACAAAACAGAAACAAACTCATAGATACAGAGAACATTTTGATGGTTGCCAAAGTTGGCTGAAAAGGGAGAAGGGATTAAGAAGGAGAAATTGGCTGTTATACAGTAGTCATGTGGATGTAGGGTATAGCATAAGGAATACAGTCAATAATACTGTAATAACTGTATATGGTTTCAGATGGTACTAGATTTATCGGGGTGATAGATGGGAGGGGGGCTGGGGCAGGGTGAAAAAGGCGAAGGTACTAAGATGTACAAATTAGCAGTTACAAAATAATCATGGGGATATAAAGTAAAGCAGAGGAAATATAGTCAATAATATGGTAATAACTATGTATAGTGCCAGGTGGGAACTAGACTAGTAAGGGGGATCACTTCTTAAATTCCATAAATGTCTAACCACTGAAATCAATATAAAATAATACTGAATGTCAACCGTAATTGAAAAATTAAAAAAAGGGAAAAGGGTGAAGGGGAATAAGAAATTCAAATTTCCAGGTATAAAACAAGTAAGTCTTGAGGGTGTAATGTACAGCATAGGGACTATAGTCAATAATAATGTGATAGCATGGTATGGTGTCAGATAGTTGCTGGACTTATCATGGTGATCACTTCTTTAGGTGTATAAATGTTGCGTAAGTATGGTGTATACCTGTAACTAATATAATATTTTACATTAGCTATTTTAATAAAAATCTTATAAGAAATATGTCTATATTAAAAGCTATTTTAGGATTACTTACTTTCGAAAGGGCTTTGGTGTCCCATGCTCAGTCATCCTAAAACAATGGGGAATAAAGAGTCAACATAAAAACAAAATGGTAATCAAGAAATTCATGCTAACAATACTCAAAACTGAGTTAAACTACAGTGGCTAATAAATAATACTTCTGGATATTGTAAGATTTAATATCAAATATTGAGAAACATTTCAGTACCTATCTAATATTTACTATCAATACGTTCTAGTTCCTTCCCAAAAAAACACGTGGGGAAAAAAATGCTACAAAGTATAGGGATACTATACAATCGAAAAACTTTAAGCAATGTCCTAAACCTAATCCTAAATTATCACTGAATTACCTTTCTACTTCCCATTCCTCTTCTTGCACTTGATCTAATGGAGGAGGTATAAAATCAAATACAGTATTGGAAGTACGAAGTGTGCCATCTAAGGAGTCTCCTGAAGCTGGTGTTTCTCCAACTTGCTTTGATCCTGAAAAGACAAAAGTCGGACATTTGATGGTGTGAATACTTAATAAAGATGATTACAAAAAAATTAATACCAAAAGAGCTTCAATCTAATCCACAGCCACATTCGTATTTAAACAATTGTGGGTTAACTAAAACCAAAATTCTAACATAAAATTTTAAAATGCACTAAAAAATAAATATGAAAATCATTTTTAAAAATTAACATAAGACATGACAACTCAGAACAGCACATGAGAAATATTGTCTCTCTTTATCCTTTTTTGCTCCCAATCTTTTTCATTCAAATTTTAGTTATTATGATGATTTAACAACAAATAATAACCTCATACTTCTTTTTCTTGATTTATTATCTTTAGGTAATATCTATGTCTTCTTCCTCTACAGATATTGCTTATTTGTGCTCCCACCTTCATTTTCCCATTTCTTCTCAATGTTTA